AATACAAGCAGGGAGAATCTCTGATAACGTGGAACACAGCTATGGCCCTTTCCAATGTGAAGCTTTGCAATAGCTATTTCAGAACAACTTGTCTAATTTAAAAATGAAGAATAAAATTTATACAAAGGTATTACCAGAAAAGAGAAGAAAGGATCAGGAAAAACAAGGGATGAATGAAGAACATTGACCAGAAAAGTGCTGGTTCTGAGTGGAGTGAAGTCATCACGAGACTCACTGCCAGGAATTCAAGGAATTCCGTGACTTAGATGTGAATAAGAATTCTGAGGTGATATATTAGGTGTCTGAACGAAGCTTTCAGAACAAAGGAGGGATTTATCTTGCCTGGGATGATCAGAGAAGGCTTCTCAGGCTAACGTCTGAATTAGATGTCGCTGCCACTGCCAGAACGAGTTACCACTTACTCCACATGCTGAGCAGAAGCAACTGATTGGCCAAACTTGTGGTCAGATGCCATCTTATTTATACCTCACAGCAACCCTGTGAAGTGGATGGTATAGTTGAGGAATCTGAGGCTCAGTGAGATGAAATAACTTGCCAGGGTAGCGTAACTAGCAAATAGTAGGTCCACGATTCAGACTGGCCACGTTTCGATTTCACAGCCTGTGCTCTGTCACCAGTGCTGCACTGCCTCCCACCCTTTTTTCCTAGCATGCTTCCCTGCAGCCTGTGCCGCAGCAGTGCTCATCTGCTGCTGCTCCCTAAGCATGCATTACTCTGTCCCACTTCATTGCCTTTGGTCAGACTGTTCCTTTACCTGGAATTATGCCGCCTCTTGCTAAATCTATCCACTGAGTCCTAATCCTCCAAGAGTCCTCCGCTTGGATTTATTCCTTCTTTTCCTGGAAGGCAGCATGGCATGGTGGAACACACATGGACTCCACCCTTTCATTACTTTGTGGCCATGGGCAAGTTTCTTTACTTTTTTGATGATCAATATCTTTGCTGTGAAGCAAGAGTACCAGTGTTCACTTTATATATCTGTGCGGAGGATTAAATGAAGTAACATATAAAGGACTTAGTTTAACACCAGCAGGTGGCACTTCCTTACTTGGATAGCACACTAGACTCTGTTACGGGATCAATCATGGTCTGCCTTGTATTATAGTTCCTTGTGCACATTTGCCCCTAATACTTGGATGGAAACTTTTGTGTCTTAATCGTCTCCATATCTCACAGCATCCCAAGGACAATGTCATGGGCACAGGTGCTTACTGAATCATTTCCTCCCATGATTTCAAATAACCATATATATATAAAATACTATGTACTTCTTTCTCATTTTAATCATGTCACACTATATTTAAAAACCCTCCCTTCCTTCTTTCCTTTCTTTCCTCTGCCATTCCAGAAATATAATCTAACTATATTTTTACCTAACTATGCTATAAACATATGGCATAATAGAAATGTATGCTATTTGGTTTAATAGATGATTTATTTTAAGTTTAAAATAGAGAAGGAATTTTAAATTCAAGTAGAGAAAGCATAGATTTTGTTTTCTTTTATAATCATTACATCTTTGATTTGGAACAAGAAGTATGTCTTCTTTTGCACAAAGATGTTAATATCAGATCTTGTATTTCTTGTGGTGGACAGTATGGAATTCAGTCTTTCATTGGGAATATTTGTTTTATATTCAGTTTTATAGTGGATAATAGTGTTCGTAAGAGTTCTCCAGGTGAACAAAATCTTTGCATAATGTAAATTTGTAAGTAACCACTGCTAAGATATTTGTAGAATTCTTGTATTCCAACATGATGTTTTAATTTTTGTACCAATTTTCACTATGGTTCAAAAATTTTCATTTATAGTTTTTAAATTGTTAATGTAAGCTCTGTGAGGGCAGAGATTTTTTTGTCTACTGATTTATCCATGGTGCCTAGAATAGTGCCTGACACATAGTCTTTCAACCAATTTTTCTATCAAATGACTAAATCAAGAAAGGTGGCCTAAACAATGATAGTTCATTTTCATAAAGCTTGAAATTAGAGAACCTCTTTTTAGAATTTAATCTTCAATTTCACCATTTTTGGAACATGGCTAAGGCCATGACTGTCATTTCTGGAAATTCTTTTCTTTGTAGGAAAGTGGGCTAAATTATTCCTTGCCAAATGAAGTCTCTAAACCCACAATTTGGCTAAGAATGAGAGAATCAAATCATATGTTTGTGCAACTGCTCGTGAACACCCTTACATAGAAATATTCTAAGTGTTTATAAATAGGTTGAAAGGGCAGCCAAAAAGGTCATGTCTTCAATCCAGTCTTTGCTGTGAGCTGAGGCCGGCATTTTTCCCTTGGCCGACTGGAACAAGTTGTCCATTTGGAACATTTATTCAATAAATATTGTGTGCCTCCTCTTTGCCCAGGAGTATACAGTCCTAAGCACTGTAGAGAACAAACAAAGTTGAAGAGGATACTACCCTAACCTTTGAGGAAAAAAATTTTAAGTCTACCGGGAAGGATTAATTGCACTTCTGATTTTTCCATGTATTTGAATTCTCTAAATTTTTTATTAACTGATAAATTTGGCTTAAAATGTTTTGTTGCTTATTGTTCTTTGTTGTCTTTATTTTATGTCAATTTCTGTTTCACTGTCTTCCTTTTGATAATTCCATTCAATTTGTATAAAAATTTGAAGTTTCTTTGAAAGGCTACTTTATAATGCTTAGGCATAAATACCTGCTAACATGTAGGGAATTTGCTGTTGGTATAAAAATATAAATGCCACTCAATGTAAATTGTTGCCTATTACATAAAAAATTATTTTCCTGAGATATCTTTTTTAAATATTGAATCTAAAATATTTTCTTTCTAATAGCATCTGTACACAGTGTATTTGCAAAGCATTTTCAAGAAATGTTTTATATTTTTTTTT